TACCCTGACAAAGAAGTTGAGTTGTTTCTTTCATATTTATAGTCATATCTTGTCTCAAGCTCTCTTACGATTTTATGACTCCTCACTATGGGGCAAGTAGCACTGCAAGATGCCAATCACCTCGATTAATAAGGAAAAATATTGGCAAGAATTGGTCCCAATTAAATGTCCAATCATCTAGGGTCAATCAATTTGGCTCATATCAAATTAAAAGAAATGGCATTTCCACCAATGTAAAATTGTAGCAAAAAAAGTTATATAAACCTTTAGTGCAATAAAATAAGGGGAACTGCAACAAATTATCTTTTAATTCAGTAACAGTATTCAATGTTCCATATGATCAGCCAAACAATTATTTCTCAGTAAAAAAGTACAAGAACTCATCCTTTGTAATGCATGGTAAAAGCTAATGGTTAGTTAGAACCAGTTCCAGCCCATCCCACATGCTAGTTGTGACCCTGTGCTATCAAAATACAAAACATGGAGAAGCCAAGTTGCTATGTTCTATAAAGAACCTTTGTCCTCTTTAGCTTCAAAAGTCGTCATCTACTTGTCCTTTTCTTCCAATTCTAAGCGTCCTTATAGGATGAGCAACTCTAGGAACCCATAAACATACCAACTTCTTTTGGAAAAAAATATTTTGTTTTGATCCCAGGAGAAATTGTCTTACAGAAGCTTGAGTGGTTGGCGGTTAAGGGATCACACTTGCTTTCCTCACAGGCTGCAATTTGCAGCAAAGCACATGGTCTTTTCTTTTAATATATACAAGTTCTGAAGGACAGTTATTCATTAGTTTATGCCCTCCAGGAATCTAACATGCACTCTAACCAGCCAGCATTATATATACAAGCATTATCTTTTGAGTTTCAAGCATATTATCTTTTAATATATAATTAGTCATCAAATACTAAAAAACCCCACATAGATATTAACAGAAATTTTTCAAAAGATATTAATTAGAAGAAGTGAATCAGTGCAACGAAAACTAGTACATGTAGTTGCAAAGTAATTTCTTGAACTATTTATATGCATATTTGGCTATTCTGATATACCAATTAAATTGTCACGAAGCAAGCTACACAGGCACATGGTCCTAATCCAAAACACTAATTCATTGATGCCTTGGGGTTTGGGCATCCCCTTTAGCCAACATATAGGCTGCGTTCGGCTGGTGGAAATTTCAGCCGGAATTCACTGTTCACGGCTGAAATTCACTGTTGACGCTCCCACAAATTCCTCCGGATTCATCCAGATTCATCCAAGCGAATAGGCCCATAGTTAACACAAGAAGTTGTGAATTCCGAAAACTCGTCACAAAATCATGTATGTTGTGCACATAAAGTTAAATAAACCAGCAAAAATCAAATCTCAAATATATCTCTGATATTGACGACATTAAAAAAGACACAAGTTGTTACTGACAACACATACGAATAGTGTCAAATTGACTGCTTGTCGATTTGTTTCGTAACATCTAGGTCAAATTTCAAACTGAATTAATTGCAGATATATTTAAATTTATGTGTACTACATACACGATCTTTTTATGGATTTTTGAAACATTGCAATTTGCAACATGATAGATTCAGTAATGGTATGTGTACCCTGGATACGGAATCTGTACTAATCCAAAAATCGGGTTCTTGTAATAAACTAATAATACTTCCAGCTAATCATATACAAATTATTATTCTTTTATCCTTAGAAATGCAAGTAATCATTGTAATAAGAAATTGCTAGAAAAGAAAATGACAGAATTAGTCCAAATACAAGAATGAATCACTATTATTTGGCTTTTATTGTTTGTTAGTCATGGAGCTTTAGGTTTAGATATTGGCAATTTATGCTGGATCCGATACGTTGCATCCACCATCCAGTAGTATAGAAGTCCCTAGTCAGTTTTCTGTCCATGCTGCTATATATATGCCCCTTCTTGATGATGATCCTATTCTAATATGTAGGAATCAAATGCTAGGTGCATCTGTTTTCCTTTTGTATCTTTCCACTAGCCACTACCTAGTCTATGACCAAAAACAAACATAGGGTCAGTGAACCATCCCAGTGTTCTCCTGATTAAACATTAGGGTCTAGTCCCCAAGGGACAACTTCATTTGGGTGTTGCATAGGTCAATAACTTTTTCCTTGCTGCAGTGGTCTCCACCTTGAGCAGCAGTGTACCTCATCTTGACATTCTTTAGTCCTCAGAGCAAGCACAAAGTAGGCAGCATTTAAGATCACCCGAATCCCAGTAGGGGCCCGCACAAAATTGTGCTGTCAAAGGAAAATCCTTCTTTTTGGCTCACGATGACAATAGTTTAGAGCGTAGTTTAATCCCCACGGTGACCTCACCCATTTCACTGCTAAGAAGAAACATATGTACAATATTCAGCAACCATTTCTCTTTATTTTCTCCATAAGTGCTTTTTGGGCAACCATAGGATAATAAACAATAGCTTGCCTTAATAATTGAGCCTGATGTCTTCCTGCAGAACAAGTTTGAAAGCTAGTTAACAAACCCAAGCAATGTGGGCAAGGACTATAAACTATATTCTATTACTCCAAGTGACATTACCTACTGCATAAAAACAAGCACTTGAGATTGGGTGGATTTCACTTAAAGTCAAGTGAAGTTCTTTTCCCCTATGCAACAAGTGATTAAAGAAACACCTAGACCAAAATCATGTATAGAATGTATAAAGCTAAATAGCACAGAGAATAATTTAGAACACAGGGATCCAGTATAAAGCACTGAATAAGCTAATACAGCTACGATTGCGACACTTGGAAAAACTACTACACCTCTGTATGCGAGTGATCAACAGATGGAGATGTATGATTACTTCACGCCCTCATTGTGTTATGCCTTTAAGAAAGGGATTAGCGAAGAGTTTAGATAACATGATGGTGGAAGAAAGAGCTTTATAAATGTAATCTTTAAAACTTTAGAGCCCACTTGGCAATTTGAAAAGAACTAGGCACAAGTTTTTAACAGCAAAAAGTAGTGGAAGTGAGGTTATTAGATGTTTTTAGGTCTTGAAACTAAAGTCAAAACTAAGCCTTTGACAAACATCATATCTGGTTTGATGTATTAGACAAGCCACCTTATTGTTATTTGGACATTACAGCACAAGTTATCTCTGGCTTTTACAGATTATAGTCAGTAAGCACTCAGACTAGTTTTCCTTATTTGCACTTGGATGTCTAGTAGAAAAGCTTTAATCAGAGACTCTGAGTAAGTTACTTTCCATTTCATTTTGTTAACTCTTCTGTGGGTACAGATCACAGTGGATCATTTACTCAAACTCCTCCCTCCCTCGTGAAGTTGTCTTATGGACAGCTCTTCCACAAATGCATAGTAGTCCCTAGTGCTGGTATGGGAGAAGATTGAGGAACAGGACAAAAACACCTCGCAAACTGTTGCTGAAAGCAGATCTTTCAAAGAAATATATAATAGCGATTCAAACATATTTTGCATCTCTGTATCGAGTATCAACAAAGAGTTTATAGCCATTAGCCCATTACATCTTTACTTTCTGATCGTCTGTATTTGTAAGTCCATGTACAGAAATGACAAATTTGTAAGTTCATGTACAGAAATTATAAATCATGTATTTCATTTCATAAGGTTCAAGAAAAGATGCATTAACATAACATGACAACAAGATATAACTTCAATAACAATACGAAATAAAGTGACAATTAGAAGAGCGTAAAAAGTTATTCAAATGGGTAACATACCACTAGGAAAATCAGACCCCGCAATCTAACATACAAACCAAACCTGTATGATTAACAAATGCCCTACAAAAACAACCTAGTATTATGTATGCTCCACTGCTCCACGCTACTTATCATGTGCTAATTCACACCTAAGCATGTTCCTGTTTATGACTCATGACAGTAAAAGTATATGGTCCCAGGTCAAGAGCTACTCAGCTAATTTCCAGTATATTCTGTTAGCATTTAATAGAAGATAAGCACATAGCCATATACATAAGTTTAGGTATAGGTAAACCAGGCATGAGATCTAAAGGTGATCCAATTAGTATCTCCACCATTTGCTCTATCAACTAGGAAGTCCAACAATTCTGTCAGAGGAATAACAGATTTCACCACCTTAGATTATCAAGACAATTCAAGACCTAGTTTAAAAAGTTAATCTATAAATTGATTGCAAGATTGTTGTAGGTAGCGTTTAACCATGAGAAAACCTATTCAAGCTAATCACCGCAGCACTTCACTCCGGTTCTTCTAGATGGTAGTACAGGTTAACAAATGCAAGAAGTTATACTGCCTTTTAAATAGTAACACAACAAGTTTTCAATCCTTTGCCAGAAAAGTTCAGACTGGCATACCAGAATAAGAATAAGAAAATAATAATTATATTTCACTTTCATGTCCTTATCAAAGAAGTTCTGGGGATCTCCTAAAATAGTTTTCTAAAGGACGAGATAACGTAGAGGTTTCGACATCTCTAACCATAACATGTCACACTACTAAACAACTTTACCACATCAAGTTGATGAAAACGAGTTGTACGGACTGAGATAAAAAATATAGATATGTTATCTCTTTGCTGGGAAACTATCCGAACCAACAAGGACAGATGGTATGTATTTCCATAAAACCAGAGTTAGAAAATGGGAGAATCAAAATGGTCTATATTTCATATTTTACATCAAACTCAAATACCTTATCATCAACTTACATAAAAAATGAATATTTTTACAGGGCCTTGATCACAATTAGCCTACTATATATTCCAATTTCAGTCAATCATATGTTCTCGTTAGGAAAAATATGGATAAAATACTACCTTATGTACACACTGATGAGTACTTAATATCCCCAAAACTGCAGAAGCCTTTTGGAAGAAACTAAGTACACTTGCGTGCGTAGTTCAAAACTGCAAATCACCACATCCAACACTTCAAATGATACTGGTGCGTATCAGGTTTCTTGCAGAAGTAAACCCAACCATTTCACGGATCCTCAAGCATTCAAACCCTGTGGAACTTGTACTTCTGCACAAGGTTGAATCTTTCAGTACTCCCACTAAAACCCTTAAGCACAAGGGTTCTCACAGCGTAGATCCCTTGCTCCAGAGCAGCGTCGACCTTCATCAAAATTATAAAGCAGGTTTAAATCAACTATCCAAGAGCAGCTATATCAGTTCATACTAAAAAAGGGTGCACCACTACAGAATGAGTAACTCGAGGCTTAAGCAAACAACATTTATCCTAGGGTGATAAAGTAAAGTTTGAGAATCCTAATATTATCTTTTCCAGAACCAACTTTGCAAAACTCCCTCCCCCCCACACACACACACACACACACTTATTAACAGCAGTTTGATTTGGTATTGTTGCGGACAGGCCTCTAGCTGAGTTGGTTAGGTGGCTCTAGTAGCACTCCTTAGATGCTGGGTTCGACTCCCCCGTGTGTGAGCGAATTTCAGGCTGGGGTTAAAAAATCTCTCGTCATCTCACACCAAAGCACAGTATAAGGTCCGGCCCAAGGTCGTGGTTGTTCTCACATGGGCTATGGTGCCGCTGTGTATGGGTGGGCCAGAGTTCAAGGGTTTTGTTGACCTATGGAGAAGTTCTTCTTCTTAGCAAAATGTCCCGGCACTGTCTTACCCCCGTAGGTCGTTTTTTTTTTTGGTATTGTTGGCACATGTAAATTAGGATAGTCCTCTGCGCTAATGACTCTTGCAGCACTAATCCAAACAGTGGAGTCTATCCAACATGGAACCAAGTCCTTGTTCTCTGTATAGAAGATATGTTTACTGCCAACGTTTAGCATTGCCTATAGCCAACATTTATATGCACCAACTATGATAGCTCAGCCAAATGGTGGAAGTTCTTTTGCTGGAGCCGAGTGAAGATAAACAGAAGATGGTTTTAAATTTTGTCCTATCTTCTTTAGAATAAACAAAAATGTAGCAAAGGCAATACCTGGACTCGTTCCTCTGAACTGAACTTCTGCAGAAGGAAAGCTCGTGGATCCATTTTTCCAGGTGGGTTACCAATGCCTATACTCCAGCAGCCAGCAACAAAATGGCATGAACTTTCCATCAAGCATAGAAGAGTCAGGACACGAATATAGTAGTGTACCTATAGATAAACGAGGAAATTCTCTGCGACCATCCAAATTCTCAATCACATTCTGTAGCCTGTTTCAAGAAAAAATGTTTTTGTGAAGGTAATGAATGTATACTATGGTGATCATAGAGACAGCTACTTCAAAGGTATTATGTCCATAAGTAAATTATAGCATTCCAATCACAAAATGACAAAATTATGAAGTTCCATGACAATCAATTAAATTAATCTTGAGTAGAGAAACTCAAGACTGTTACATAAGCGATGCACCCACATATTCAAGTACCAGAGTTTGATACAATACTGAATTATTAGTTCTTCAGAGTCCAAATAAACATCTCTACACAAATTATCTATCAGATCATACAGGTTCCAATATTAATATTAAGATAAGTATTGCAGCTTACATTTGAGTATTTGGCAAGTAAATCTATGTGTTATATTCGGCAAATACATCAGGCCAATTATTAGTGCATTAAACTATGTCTCCATTTGGTTCTTCTTGATCTCTTACCAAAGAGTGTCACTAAATGACGTGGCTAACCAAATCTTATGTGTTCTGTATGTGAATGACAACAGCATGTTTCTTTTGAGTTTTGACTAATAAGGTAGCCTATATGAATTGGTCAAATGATTTGAAAATCTAAAGACTACCCGTTGTGGCGACCATGACCGCCTTTCTTTTGAAGCCGTAGTACACCATTGGGCAGGCTCATATCATCATAAATCTGAAAAATAAAGGAACTTGCAGCAGTCAACTTTTGAATTTATGATAATAACTGAAAGCTGCAGACCATCAAAAGAACACTGATGATGAGTACCAAGAGGATGTGTCGCAATGGTACTTGATAATAGGCTGCAAGAGGTCCAATCTTCACATGACAACAGATCAGGTTAGGATAGTTAACTGTAAACTCATTATAAATGATAACAGATCTCAACTGGTCTTGACATTTTCTAGTAGCACATTGCAAGACATGAAGTGTGATGCTTTAGCAAGATTGCAAGAATGAGGGAAACGAGAAATTGTATGTGTAGGCAAGTCAGGATGAAATCATAAGATTATCAACATAATAACCATGCTTTTTCTGTACTGTGCATTCAACCAAACTAACTATACTCATTTGATACAAATGATTTCTCATTAATGAATAATATATCCATACAATGGAATAAGCTAAACCTCAACTTCAATCCAATATATAAAGAGCCAATTTGCCTGTTGTGCACTTCATATTAATACTCCTAACAGACAGTATTTCGTATCAACAGGCATCAAATGTCCACTCCTTTACCCAAAAAAATAAACAAGTTCACAATTGTGCTCATGTTGTATCCACTACTTTCTCAAAGGTTACAAATACCAAAAAAGAATGAAATGAATGTAAATATATTGCAAGTTTAAGCAGTAAGGAATGCAACTATCCCCACAAGTAATCAATCTCCCATAGAAGCATTTATTTAAGTAACTAAAACATCATTGCCCCCTTATAAAAAAAAAGAACATCATTGCCCCTTACATTTCACAAGCTAATAATGTCATCTAGAAAGACTAAGAATAACTCACTGCCTCTCCACTGTAGTTCATGTATGATTGCGGTTTTACTACCAAGACTGGCACATCGCCAATTGAACCTGCACTAAAATCCAACCCAATGATGGGTTAAACAAATTAATAACATGAATACACAATTGTGAAAGTTACAGTCAAACAGCCTGCAAATTGTACTTATCCTTCCAACAAGAAAATGTTCCGGGACTGCCCATACATCTATGAAGATAGCTTTATTTCATTTTGAATACATCACACAGACGCCATTATGCATACCTAAAATCTCTATATTGTACTTTTCTGATGGGATGATCGACAGACCAAGTTTTAAATTTCAACCAGTACATCAGGGCATTTCCTGTGATGGTCTTGGCAGTACAATAAGGACTAAGTAAACTGCACGGCTTCTCACTGGATTGAATATAACAACAATGGAAACCAAATGGCAATGAACATGAGAAAAAGATATCTCGTTTTCTCTGGACCAACATTATATTTGTCATTTTTAATAAACTTTTAGTTTATATCGCCAAGCAATTTGTTCATTATATACGATCTAACCAAATAATAATAACTTGAAGTTCATTTTGCTAAAACTTGCACAAAACAAGTTTCTACAGAGAAATCAAATAATAAAACTTGTCAACCTAATGATTGGCTGAGTAGAGGTACATGGAGAAATCTCCACAGATTCATCCCTCCAACCACCACACTCCAGCTCAAATCTAAGTTAAAGTTGCTGACTTGCAGCAACTGAAATAGACAACTACACAAAGAGTACAACCGAGATTGATGTCCAATTATACCAATACAATGCACACCAGCATGGCAAAATGATTGTAATACATATGTTTCCTTCATCACTGTCAATCCCCAAATTATGCAGTAAGGAAACTAAAGATAGAACACAGCATAAAGAAGGAACGTACAACCTAAGCACACACAATCCAGGTGAAAAGGGTTTTAGTTACCAATTCCCAGCAGCGACTTGGACTGGATTGTGTTCATCGTGATCCCCTCCTCCCCCGCGATGCGATCCACCATCTCAAACCCCACCTAATCAATGACACGAGCACGCGCACAAGGGAACGGAGGAGAGCGAGAAGTGAGAACCACCATACCGAAGTTGCGGGAAATGGGAATACGAACGAACAAGGGTGGCAACGGTTCTAACATTGTGCCGCGTGCCGTAGTACTTGTTGCCTGGGTTGCCGAGGCCGGCGATGAGCCAAGGCGTGTATTCCACAGGCCCCGCCGCGGGGTCGGGGACGGAGGCGACGACGGTCACCAGCCGCGAACGGCGGATGCGGTGGACTGGGGCGGTGAGGTTCCTGCGGGGCATGTGGAAGGGGAGGAGGGGTGCGGAGAAGTGGGAGGAAGTGGTGGGAGTGGCCGTGGCGAGCAACGACATGGCGAAGGGGCGGGCGAGCGGTCGAGAGGAGGCGGTGGCGGCGCCGGCGCCGGACCGAAACGATAGGAAACGCGGAGGCATATGCATTATCTTGATGTTTTGGTTATTCTACATAGGTAAATCGCATTTGATAAAATTATGTTTGATTGTTTACATTTTATTGCACGAAGTCACCTGTCTCTCGTAGGGTGAAGTCATTGCTCCCCTTCCCACAAACTTCAACCGTACTTACCTGAGCATCTAGTCGCATTCGTCTCCAATTTAAAACTCTCCTTAAACCTTTTCTTGATGCGTGGCAAAATTAATCCTTTAATTTTTTTTTTTTTGCTATTGTCCTCCTTGTATCCCACTTTCCCAAATTGTCTTATCTTATCCATCAAATCATCCAAGTTCATTGTCTTACAATTCTCAATCCAGTTATTGAAACTCCCCAACTAGATTGTGCATAGTCAACCTTGCAATAAGTTAAGAGGTGGCTTCTTGTCCATATCCTTTCATAGCATTCCCTTATGTAATTCATTGCATTTGGTCTAGCTACATCCGTTGCATGCCAATGCTTTAAAAAATATGGAGACCATGAATAGGTCAAGCTACTCGTTTCATAGCACAATGCTTTAACCGAGCTACCTAGCTCTAGTTTTCACAAGTGTGCGTCACATCCACTCACTGGACTCAACTAGGTCAAGCTACTCGTTCATACACCTCTTTATAGTATGACCAAAGAAAAAATAAAGACGATAGAACTAATCTAAGTGTCTCTCAACATCATTAACGTTTAGAACTAGTCAATCCTTAATCTTCATGCTCATCCTTTGAAAACCAAAAGAACATCAACTAGGGGCATGAAAAATCATGATTGCCCAATCAATCATCATTATTGTGGCCTCACTTAAGTAATGTCGCTGCAAAAACACACGTTAGTCACAATGATTGTGCCGTCATTAATCATCGAAACCAAATCAGGGGCCAACCTCCACCATCTCTATGCATCGACGGTAAGTCCAACCTCTGCCGTCTCCAGTGGTGGGGGAAGGAATTAAATTAAGGTATGGCGAGATGGCGAACTAGAGAATATAGCTACTGTAACTCCAACTTCCACTGTCTATCCGTCTCTATGCATCGACTGTAAGTCACCGGCCTGGCCAACCCACCAAGTTCTCTTGCACTCCAACTTGACTTGGTCAAGTTCCTGCCTCGACTTTAGTCAATACCATCTTGGACCTCCATCTCGCACATGTACTCCTGGTTGTCGTGATGTCCAAGTTCTAGCTATCCATGGTTCGTCATCTGGCCTAGTCCCTTGATCCAAGCCTTTGTTTTCGTTCTTCATCGATTTATCAGCCATTTCGTCGACTTTGACGCACTAAACACTTGTGCATGATCGTTGCTCTATACGCACCAACTAGACTCACTGGTTAATTCAACTTAGCCAGACCAACTCAATCAAAGCTTGATCATCTCATATTAATAATCACTCATCATCCTTGAAATGGGCACCTATCCACCATGTCATCTTAGAGGGTCATATACTCATATGAGTTCCCAATCCTTGTGTAAGATCCACTAGTCAAGACCTAAGCTATGAGAGATCTTGTAACACCCCATCCCATTAGTAGCCTGTAGTACTTGTGAAGTTGGCCCATGTAGCCTAAGTGGCACATGTGAAGTTGTTGTTGGTGGGTTTAGTACCACCTTGGAAGTTTAGGAGGGCGAGGACCAGCTTATATGCCTTGTCATTCCAAACGTAGCACCTTCGGTGCCTTGTCGTTCCAAACGTAGCACCTCCGGGTTAACCCTTTTTACACGAAGTGAGGACGAAAGTGTAAGCGAGGTGCTACGCATATGCAGGCCCGTTTCACGTGCGGAGCTGGGCCATATAAGCAGTTTTTGGACGGCGGGTGTTACAGATCTATCATGGCATGCCGCGTTAAGGTGCAAAAGAAGTCGGACACCATTTGGACATGGATGACACTATGTGACAAGTTTGGCGACCTGAAAATCATATTACCTAGATAACACCTCCACATGAGTTCAGAGACCTAAAAATACATTTTGAAAATTTAGTAGCTACACAACACCAAGAGACAAGATTTTGGGAACCACCCAAGCATTTTACTAAAAAATTACATTAACATATGCAATACCATGTAAAAGAATTATCCATACAAATTAAATGAAACTAACTGGAAATTGTAGACGGTGAATTTTTCTTAGTTGCAGTTATAGAAATTTGGATTGTGACAAAATTAAAACAGCCTATATTTTAGAAGTGAGAGTACCAAAATACCTCGTGTTAGCCTCTTGTTCCTATAATTTCCTATATATATATATATATATATATATATATATATATATATATATATATATATATATATATATATATATATATATATATATATATATATATATATATATATATATATATATATATATATCAATTCTGTGTCTCCATGCATTCACATACTTGCCTTTGGCCCCCTATGTTGTGCTCGTCTTCTTCGACCTTGTGTTTGGCGGTGCTCTTGCCACTCCCTCGCTAATCTAAGGGAAGTGCAAAAACCGTGCCTGCCACTCCTTGCTAATTTAAGGGAAGTGCTAAAGGTTGCGCTTGACGTCAACTATGTTCATCCACCGATATACAAAATCATGTCAATTTTGTGCACAAGTGAGATTAATGTACAAGTGTATCGGGGCCGTCGAGCAAAATGGGAGACCATGTAACTGAAAAAAGTGGAGGCCTAATCTCTAGCGACGAAACATGAAAATAATGATATATGTCAATGTATTACTTATATTGCAAAGTATAGTGGTATACAAGGATTGTACGCTTTGGATTTCCCGATTCATATGTTCCGACCTGCCCGTTGCGTGGTAAAATGGGGATTGCTCTAGAGCCTTGACGAGTCGTGGCTTCCATGTCAATGTCTCCGATCTAGGATTGCGAATTGGGACTGGGTCATGAGCGACAATGAACTTGGCGTGACGCGATGGCAAATAGAAGGAATAGGAAGTCGAAGCTAAGTGTACTTAAAAAAGAATTAGAATCGTTATGTCGGTTTGTCTCCCGAATGAAGTAGCACATCACAATGGAGGTGTGAACTCATATCTTTGCAACAGGCCACGTTTATGGGCCAAAAAAAGACAATTGTTGCTGATTTATTAATTAAAAGAAAGCCCATAATTACTATACATTCTTAGGGTACTTAGTAATTGCCCCCCATGATTTTGGGGACCCTGTTCCGTTACTGACCCCACACGGGCCTAGGGATGCCCTCAAGTGTATAATAAAAAGCATTCAACTCGACCACACGTCAACTCGCCTTTGTTGAAAACAATGGTGATATAAGAGAAAATTAGATATGTGCATAGAGACACATATATGGTGGAATTTTAATCAAATATATTGTTTTTGCTTTTTTGGGGTGCATTTGCATCCCTACTCACTCCATAGTACATACCTTCGCCCCTGGTTGAAAATCTCCACTATGGCGCAGCCTTGAGAAGGCAACAAGCCTTGCGTCTCAAGGCAACAAGCCTTGCTTACACAAAGAAAGCAGAGCAAGCGAAGGAAACAAAAAGGGGAAAGTGAACTCATCCATCCATCTTCAACTACTAGTACCAAGAGAAGCATTTCCTTGATTCCACACGCCACTACTCCAAGAACACATAGTTGTTTGCTGATAATACTCCATCATCTTCCAACCCTTGTTTCTTGTACGCCCTAAATTCCCGTGGTGGCTGCGCACTGCACGCTCACGCGCTTAGGTGATCAGATCGGTGATCACCGATCAGCTATGCTATCCTATGCTATGTTGCTCTCGAGTGTCTCGTCCGACGGGATGCAACGGGGCTGAAACCGCTCACGGCATTTAAGCGGAATGTTATGTAGCAGATGCAGACATGGTCCGCGTGTGGAACCCGAGGCACACCGCACACCATGACTTGGCTGCCGAGCGCCAGGATTGCCTCAAAATTTTAAGTTTTTTCACTTTCTCTCCATCACATCAATTTTTGGACGCATATATGAAGCATTAAATGTAGGTAAAAAAATGACTAATTACATAGTTTGGTTGTAAATCATGAGACGAATCTTTTGAGCCTAGTTAGTCCATGATCAGACAAAGTTTGTCAAATACAAACGAAACGTGCTACAGTGTCCAGATTACAAAAATTTGCAATCTAAACACGGCCATGAGAGATGAGGGTGGGTACAAAACTCCAGCTCGAGCTCCACCGTCCGCCATGCACGCCGTCGTCCTTGCTAGGGTTCAGTGAGGGCATGAATGGGTGCGCATCATTGTGGGGAGCACGCCGGTGCCGTCGGTTTCACCAGAGGAGCCACCGTCGACGAGCTTCGCCGTTGCCACACCGTCACGTGTGCCTCCCCTGTTTTCGTCTCACTGACAAGCGGGTCCGGCTGACACGTGGGTCCCACGCGTCAGTGACTGTTGTTCATAGGGCTAGTTCAAAATTGTTGATTTGAATGCTGTTTTGTGAATTTTGTAACTCCAAATGTGTAGATCCAAATGGTGTGATTCAAATTTTTTTAGAATCACAGAGAAGTCTAGTATTTAAGAAAAATATGATATGAGCACATGATGTAGGAATTTTGGGTGATTTAAATAGGAACTTGAAATGTGTTTTTAAATGCATGCAAAATTGTTTACATTATATCTTGAGTTTCTGTTCTCCAAAAATTATGAAATTTTGTGGGTGAGCTATTCTTGCTTAGTAGAAGCTCTGGTAAAAATTTGAGAGTCATTGCATGTATGGGTTTTGAGTTATAGATTTTCCTTTCATCATTGATTGGTACTTGTGTGAATTTTTGTAAATTATCTAGGAATCCTATGACCTTGAAATTTTGTGGGGAGTATATCAGTACCTTAAGGATGTTAGGAAAAATATGAAATTTGTTGCTTGGCACTTCTAACTAAGGTTTCCTATTTATGCCTTTTTAAGCATTTATGCCTTGTCATTTTTGTATAGGCTATTTTACTTAT